GTAATCAGTAATCACCATTCAGGAGGGCAAGCCATTCAAAGGACTGCCTAAGAGAACATCAGGGAAACAAGACATTAATTATGGGTTTGACTGTATTCCACCTTCACAGAGTTCAAAGGAAAATATTTGCTCTGGACTGACAATTTTATTCAATGCAACGTTTCATTAAAGGCATCCCAAAGTTATACTTTGCATATTAAAATACATTACAGGCATCCATAACAGTCCATAAGTCTCTATCAGTGGCTGCTGGAACCTGATATTTTGTTAAATGTAAAACAATAGCAGTAAATTTCAGCTAACTGATTAAAATGCCTGCCTTCAAAATGCATTTGTATTTATCATGCCCATGAGCAACACACAATGCATCACTTCACAAATAATTAAGATGAAATCACCAAACAGGAACTGCAGATAAATTGTGATGGGTGTGACACAGCTGGAGCTCCAGGGACACCTTCTGAAAGGTCCCCCCACCCAGGAGGACCGGTGATAATCACGCTACTCAGCAGCTTGAAACATTCCCCAGGAGAAGAGCCGTGTGTGAGGTAAGCGTTGCTCCAGATTGCGTGTGGGCACGCTGGAGGGGAGGCGCATGGCCTGCTTTTGCCAGGCGTCTCCCAGCATGCACTGCACCCTGAGGCAGCTCTAATTCCTGACCCGTCAGGTGCAGGTGTGGCCAGAGCGGCAAGGTGCAACAGATCCTGCAATTATGGGCTTCTCTTCCACCACTGAGATTCACAACTCAGCATTGCATTTCTATAGCCGGGAAGCCATTATGTGACACAAAAACCATGTAAGATGCAGGAACTGTAGTACTTAAGATAGACAGACAGACTATATGGAATTTCAAGCCCAGCTGTAGTTTGACATCTCGGACGCTAAAGCCTAGACGACAAGCAATACAGCTAACAGGTACAATAATGAACACATTCGATATCTGACAAGGCAGAGGGCGGGTTTATAAAGCATCTGTAAAGCTCTGCGGGGGGAACGAGCTCTATCTCCAGCTGTATCATGAAATATTAATGACCCTTTCTGCTGCTATACGCCAATGGGCTAATTAGCGAGTTCATTAATATTTGATCACATCACCATCCACGGCACCAGCAATTTCAACATTTGTATTCGCTCCTGCTCACGCTTTTCAAAAACAATACACGAATTGTTTCGCCATGATGTTGGGGAGACGTGGATGAACAGCAGGACTCGGGCGCTCCCCCGATCCCCGCTCATGTCTGTTAAGATGGGACAGGAAGCTCTTTGTCTGTTGTGCGTTTCTTTTGTCTGGCTACACGATGAGGCCTGGGACTTTCTGACAGGCATCATGTGGTGTTGAAATGGTGGTCGATATTGTAAGTAATCTGAAAAGTTTCCCTTTGGCGTCATGAAAAAAGAAAAACAAATCAATAAAACCATCTAACATGCTCGCATCACATGACCACGTGCCACCACTCGTGTCACATGACCAGCCACGCAGATGACTACTTGCCCATGACTAACGTGTGGTATATTTAACTGATGATGTCATCACCCTACAGGCGGTGTCCACGAGACGGCCTTGACACAGAGAGCAGTCATTCCTCCTACGGTGCATCGTTGTGTCATCTAGGGTAATGATTCCTAACGACTTCATTTAACTGCACTTAGCTGCACTGCATTTTGCTCCTAAGTCACACATTTAATTCATCAGACATTAATGTGCTCTCTATTTTAACAGCTGGTGTAATTAAACACAATCACCCTTACGGCTGACAGATGTGAACCCCATGTATGACTAGAGGTACAAGTTAAAGCCACTGAATTTAATTTGCTATCTTTTATCGATATGGGGAATTGCATTAAAACTCCAAACTCAAGGTTTAAATGGGGCTCAAAATTCCTCCTGATGTTCCTCGCAAGCCCTCTTAGTTACAGAGAAATATTCTTGTGTTTAAATCTAAATGTCAGCCGCATTAACAGATAATTGCTCCAATTCAGAATGAATGCGACTGCCTAAATGGTGTTTAGGTTCAGGTGTTTGTTTATTTTCTGACACCCTATGAAAGTATAACTAGGTAGGCATATTGTCCCTGCCAAGCCCGCGGCCTCTGTGAAGAGGCATACAATCAGTAAAAACCACCGTGGATGAGATAACCTGTTGATTTGCTTCTCCTCTTGAAACCCTGAAGTTTACCTAAGGTAAAATGCCTCCTCTAGTCGCTCCCTGTCTGCTGAAGCACTTCATCTACCTCCTTAGAGTCCCTCTCACATCATGGGGTGAACGGAGATCATATACATCACTCTTATGACACCTGATGGGAAATGCACATTTCCCTGTCAATCTGGTGTCATCACACCCGAGCTGATACCCCCCCCAAAGCCGGAATGTGCAGCCTCAGACATGCACTGGAGCAGCCAGCAAACAAATCCGATTGGCCGAGAGGCGACCGCTGCTGCTCCATGGCAGAGTCCGTGACGTTATGCTTATCTGCCAGGACCCTTCGCACACACGGTTCAAGAGGCTGAAGTCAGTGTCATTTAAACGGCCAGATCCACTTGTAAACAAACCGAGTCAAGCGTGCAGGTTGGGATTGTAGTGAAGGAACTGGACCTGCAGCTCAAAATCCCAGGACAAGCCTGCTGTTGGACCGGTTTCCTTAACAAACACCCAGATGTATACGTATGCAAATGTTAAGTTTTGGTTGTCACGTTAAGTTTGTGCGTCCCGTATGTAAACAAATTAACAGGAACTGCTGTAATGTCGCTATGAAAGCATTGAAATTGGCCTTCACAGAGAAGTGAGCAGAAGATTTTATAAAAATTCCCATTCCTTGTGACACTATGGGTAAACAAAGGTTGGGGTAAAATCAACAAGGCAGTCGAGCAAATTATAGCAATACTGGGATGGGGGAAGTTAGGGTAGCAGTGGTCACGCTCCCAATCTCATCACCCGTTATCTTCACTGAGCTGGCAAACAATTTCAAGGTAGGGACACTGTCAACTCCAGCATGTGTGTTCAGCGAAACAGTGGGAAATCTCTGTAGATTAAACACATCTTTAAAGGATGCCCTCCTACAAATTTATAATCTAATCCAAGGAATGAGTACAGTGTTTTTTTTTTTTACTCAGTATATTTGGGTTTAGTGTAACCCACTTACAATCCATGATTCCCACCATCTCCACTATCAACACACCCTAGGCTTCTGCATTTATTTTAAGAAGTAGCAGAGACACATTAAGATTGTATATTCTTTCAAATTCCCTGCATCTGCGTCTTTCCGACACGACCTGCCAATAAAAGGAATTCACCCCGTTAATGCGTAACAGATTTGCTGCTTTTATAGACCAGTGCGAAAGCGAGCTCACTGCATGGCACCGCAGGCCCAATCCGACACCAGTGAAAGGGAAAGTGTCGTGTGTCTTCCAGTAGAGTACGGCGAGGGCCACACCTAGGCAAAGTGAGAGGGGCCCTTAGCTCGTCGCAACCTTCCCTCCGTGAGGTGAGTAAGCGGTCCGCACTATACCCTCCTCCCCCCGTCCCAAGTCATCAAATTGCATTCGATCTCCTGCCCTGCACAAGACTCTCTGCAGCTCGCTGGCGGGGAGGGAGGGGGGGGGCAGCAATTTCAGCACTGATGCCAGATGAAAGCTGTGAACTGGAGCAAAGTGTATTCAGGCGCCCATCTCCGCGTTCAAGGACGGTGTTCTTCAGGAGGTGATTTTCCAGCGCTACGGTATCTCCAATCTGACCTCCTCACTGCAGCTTATTGAATAACCGCGGCGATATCCCCACGCCATGCCAGGAATTATAAACGCCCTGTTTAGTCCAGGCCTTGGCGCTGAAGGTCAGCTTCGCTTGTCAGAGTTAATGATACTCTGCTCACTGACGTGTTGGAGCAAACCTCGCTAAGCATGCACTTTAAGTGCGAGACACAGCCCCGTTCTCTTAATTGCGGTACATAAAACACAGCGCTCTGCCTACATTATAAAAGAGGATTAGGGATTCTCAGTTGACTGGGTCTCAAACTCAGATGGGGGTGGAGGTAAAGGTCTTCAGGCCTTGTGGAAGCGTCTGGTGATTAACGCTCTGCACCAGGGGTCCCTTCGGGCACTGCAGGCCTCCCGATTCAGGCAAGAGCCCCCACCCCTCCGAAGTGGATGATGCCCAAGTTTCCAGAGTAGGAGACAACAAACCATAACTGCTAAGGCCTTTTTCCAGGTGCGCTGAGTGGCACAGCGGGTTGAAAATCTCTAGCCATGTCTGGATGATCACAGGTTTCAATCCCATGACCAGCAGAGCAATCACATCAAAGTGACCCTGAGCAAGGGCCCTAACCCCATCTGCTCCCGGGAAACTGGCTCTCCCTAAGCTTTCCTCACTTGCATGTTGCTTTCGACATAGGCGACTTACTACATAAATAAATGTAAGCGTACGACAGCCTGTCAGATTCCCACACCAAAAAAAAAAAATAATAATAACTCCAGCAGGGGATAACAGTACAGTAGACAATGTGTGCCCAGAGCCTAACTTCTACATTACTGTTATTGTATGAAATAAAAGCATTTAATATACCCTTAATGGCCTTTGGGGAGGGGCAGTGTGGCTATTATCATTTGCTACCAAGCTACAGGGAAGGAATGCGTAATGAAATGAAGGAGGTTATTGCTTGATAGTGTGAGACCTATAGGAATATTTAATACTTGACATTTTAAGAGGACACTTGACATTTGTAGGATTGTAAAGCAAATTTACACGCACACAAACACACACACGGTAAAATAAAATTAGCCTGACGGCTCAAGTATGCAAGGGAAAAGGTCCATTCCAGCATGATTTCATAAAGGAGCTGGACCATAATATAACAGATCAGCAGAACAAATACGGGTAGTCCAAGAACCATTTAAAAAACGGACACTGGTTCTTTTAATGGCTAATTTAATAAATGAAAATCATTAATTGCTCATTCTTACAAGGATAACTATAATTTAAAAACTCTTAGAATCACTATTAAGATCGAGACCTAACTCGTTTATCCTATTTGCAATGATTTTGCAAACAACAGTTTTAAATAATGTACTTGATGGCAGAATGTTTCGTCCAGTACAGGAGGCTCCTGACATTGCATTTGACGTCTCGCATATCCGAAAGCCCGAGGCTATCTCACATTATATGATCCCATTAATTTGGTCCGTAAAATTATATTTAATGCCACATTTGCCGCACACATCCGACCCTTAACATGAAAAGGTGTCTCGATTTTTTTTTCAGGAGCCCAATCGCCAACACCGTAAACCCCAGAGCGGAGTTTAAAAACCTTTTACATAAGCTTAAAAAACGGTGAGAAACATTTTTCTTCTTTTCACATCCTTAAGTTAGTTTGATTCTTGCACTGTAACAGTGTCCAATCCATATCTCCAGCAAAAAAAAAAATGTGACACGCGAAACAAGTTGGCATTTGATGCGCTTTTAAAGCTCCCGTTATTTCAATGATCGATCACATTTTATCGTTTGCTTTCCCCGTGTGCGCCCAGAAGCAAGTCATCCGATGCACTTTTCTTCAGCTGTTACAGCAAAAGTTATTTTTTCCTCCACTCCGCATACTTCTGTCGCTCCTCTGGCTTTGAAAGCCAGCGATCAGCACACCATTCGAAGGTCCTGAGCACTCAGAACGTCTCTCGCCAAACTCTTTCTAGTGCAAGACAGCAGCTCGTCGCCTTGCCCATTGCACTGCCCCAAGGAGGGAGGGAGCTGGAAAAGCCACTCCCACGCCTCGCGGCTCCATGTCCCGAGACTCGTCCGCCACTCAGCGCCACCTGCCGGCGGCAGCTCGTAACTGTGGCTCTTTCTCTCTCTCTTTTTTTTCTTTTTTTTTCCTCCTTCCGATTCTCCAATGTTCACAGCTCGGCCGGAGCCTGTCGTCCTCCAGGCTTCATTTCCGACGGGTTTTTAAACACTCCCGACCGCCCCAGGATCCGCGCGGGACCGCGTTGAAGGTAAAAGCGAAGCTTTGGGGAACGGGGAGAACCCGGGCCGGGGGGGTAAAACGTCGTTCGTTCTCGCCGTTTTTTTTTTAGCGGCTGTCGCTAAAGAAGGGGGGAGCTGGAAACTGACTTCACGCATCAGTTCGTACACCATGCTGATACTGGAGTGCCTCCCACCATAACAAACCTACAAAAGGCTTTAAAGCGGCACCTCGGCTCGCGCTTTTTCCCTTAAAAAACTCCGCTCCGGTCGCGCGCACGTCCCCTCGTCCGTCGGTGGTGCCTCGTCCTCTTCTTTAAAGTGAGCGAAATATAAATGGTTTTAAGATACAACCCCCCTCCTCCTCCTCCTCCTCACTGTGAGAGAAGGTGCAAATTATGCTTTCCTTGCAGCTCTCGGATCTCACCAATATCTGTGCGCTGCTGGCCATGTAAATAGCCTCGTGGTTATTTATTTATTTCTTTTATTTCCTCTACGCCGTATTCTGATAACACCGAGCTTTTCATAGCTTAGCTGGCGCTTAAAAAAACTCATACTATATCTGGTCAGCTAACAACAGCATGATTGGGGAGAGAATTAGCAGGCTAGCTAGCTGTTTTTCTGCAAAGCACTTCATGTCAGCGATGCAAAATCGCGCAGAGCTTCTGTCTCCGGCCAAATATTTGCAGAAGGTATACCGAGTGTTGATTTTTTTTAAGCCTGACGATAATATTGTGCTTGAATTATTTATTGATCGCCGGGCAGCTTGTTGACGCTTGCGGACTGCTGGTCAAGTGTTGGATTAAAATCCGAGGCGAGCATGTGCATCGCGCGTCCTTCTGAATGACAACAGTTTGGGCAATAATACGGATACATCGGAGGTGCCTGGTGCCTTACCTTTTACCTCAGCGGGTGACGGGTGGCTCTGATGTTTCCTTTTGTCCTGCTGTGGATCCTCGGAGTTTCGATTCGCATTCAGTCCAGCAAACACACACGCAACTCCCGCTCGCATTAATGCATAATTAAGTTTAATCAATGACTGTCTAAAGACCCCAGTTCGACGGAAAGTTTTGGCATCGAACAAGGCTGTCTGTTTTAAATAGTTGCAACAAAACAGCTGTTTGCTCGACATTGTAGTTAAGTCTCTCGGCGATCGTCCGTGCGCGGAGCTTTAAGAAGTTGTTCTAATATAAGTGCAATGCGGTGACACCCCCCAAAACGTTCTGCCATTTGTTCTTCAAGGAGGATCATGTCCAGCGACAGGCAACGATCGGACGACGAAAGTCCGAGCACCAGCAGCGGCAGTTCTGACGCAGATCAGCGGGACCCGCCGGCACCCGAACCCGAGGAGCACGAAGAGCGAAAGCCGCCCTCCGCCACTCAGCAACAGAAAAAGAACACAAAGCTCTCCAGCAAAACCACTGCTAAACTGTCCACAAGTGCTAAAAGGTAAACGCTTCTCACGTGAGCGCTGGCTGTTCGGTTCATGGAAACAAACTGAACGCATAAACTGAAAACACCATGCCATAAATGTGAGATGTTGAGACCAGCACATGATTTTTTTCTTTACTGTGTATATTTGTATCACTTTAACTGGAACCTTATATACATTTGCTACTAGTTTCCTACTGAAGGCCATTGTGTCATTTGTATGTTTCCAAAAATAATTGATAGTGTTTTATTGTTATATACTTTTGCGTTGCATATTAAGCGATTATTTTTTCATGTTCCTGTTGCATATATTTAAGACTACCTTACACATGGCAATATGTGATTACATGAGTATGGATGAATTTAGGATTGGTGAGTGTCAGTATGTCCACACAGTGCATAATCTGGGCTGGTTGTTGAGGAAATGAACTCCTGTAAGTCCTTTTAATTACAGGTTCAAACACTGAACTGTGTCTTAAGTTGTTATTAGAACCTAACAGATTTTTATCAGTTACACATTTTTATATTGAACTCTACAATGGGTTCAGTAACAAAAAACAAAGATCCTGAATGTTTGGGAACATTTAGTGGCTGTCTTAGGTTTAGCAAACCTGAAAGAGTCACAAGAAAGTGGGGACAACAAGAGCGCACATTATTGGCTGGATTACAGGGAAGGCCTGTGATTTAAAGAGTCCGTTTGGCACACAAAGCATCTGAAACATGTCAGGTTTAAAATACGTAATCAGCAGATCCGCCCTAAAAATCTTCAATGGAAAAAGTAAATGTGAGAGACAAGCCTGTACAACTCTGACGATGCTCTAGGAAGACCTCTAGAGCTCCAGTTTAAAGCTCTTGTCAAATATGCCTGGGCTACCCCCCCCCCCCCCCCCCCCGCCCTACCCATGACCCGTGCCTCATTTGCATATAAGCTTTAAAAGAAAATCTCCTTTGGTAGAAGTGACTGGAACCCAGAGAAGAGGGCCAGGACGGGTGCTCAGGGGGACCGGCTGTGTGCTGTGCCGGACGGCAGCTCGGTCGAGCGAGGAGGAGGGGAGAAATGAGGGCTCCAAAGTTTTCCTGTTCTGGGATTCGGGTTATGCCTCTGAGAACAAAGAGGCAGCAGCCATGTTAGCTGAAGTGAGGGGGGAGAGGCAGCCCTGCATTTATCACTGCGGTGGTAGAGGGCAGTGTATTTCCTCCCCGCTTGAAATTCTCACTCCAGCTTTTTTTTCCCTCCCCTTTCCCTTGGCAGAATTCAGAAGGAGCTCGCTGAAATTACTCTGGACCCTCCTCCCAACTGCAGGTATGGAAGAGCGCTCCCCCCCCCCCCCCCCCCCCCTTTCCTCTGCTTACACTCGCCGCTAGCCTGATTTGACTGCAAGATCTTTATCCGCGGTTGATGCACCTGCTCTTGCAGAAGGGTGTTCTTGCACTTCTAAAGCGCAGTTTATGTTTTGCGCGAAGCGGTCTGGGGAAGCGCTCGTCAGCATTAGGCTCCGTAGATCCCGGGTGCTGCTGATTGTTGGTGTTTGGATAATTTGTGTTTGCTGTGCTTTAGGCGGTGAGTTGTTTCTGAACGGTGCAACAGATGCTTTACAGCGCTGGCTGCCTCTGAGCCAAGTGTTAAGTCTCAGTTCTGTATATGTATATTTATTGTATTAAAAAAAAAAAATGTCAGTAGATTTAAGTGCAGCTTTTTATGAAGTTATTTTCTTTTTGGTGTTTACTTACTGCCGGTACTACTTTTGCTGGTCTATTAGTAGCCTGTTGGGGATGGTGTGTGGCTCAGCAGGTTGGGATGGTGAATCTGTGATCAGACGGTTGCCAGTTCAAATCCCAGAGTCAGCAGAGTGATGTCACTATTGGGCCTCTGAGACGGACCCCTAACTCCCGACTGCTTCAGGGATCGTCTGATCTTGCTTACTCAAAATGTGTCACTTTGGAGTATTTCCTAAATAAATTTTTAAAAGTTATTGTAATAGGCATAATTACTGTTTAATCTTGAACGGTTTGGCTCTGTAAAAGATGATTGTGAGAGCTGTTAGTGTTTTAATTTAATATCTATTTAATTGCCAAGGTGAAGCTCTCATTGCTTGAGTATCCATTGTGACAGAATACCTTCAAATTTTAAATCCGTGCATGATAGCAACAGAGACATTTGTAGTAATCCTTTATTTTGTGAGGTGTCTATATTTTAATAAACTGAAAGTCAGTGTCATTGCTAATTAGTTTGATTTTTGCTAGAGGGATTTGGCAGGTCTTGGCACATAAATGGGGGGAGGATTTTTCTTTAAATAGTGGATGGTTTGCTGCAGTGTGTCAGAATGCTGAAAGTGTCTCACCAGACCTCAGCTGGCCTTCCAAGCTACTTTTCACCGCATGATTAATTTAGGAGAACTGTGCTCTGGCCAGATATCTGCCCACGTGTCTTAATTAGCGTGTTGCTGGTGATGCAGATGCGAAAGATTTATACGTTTGCTTGTTTCATGTTTTTTTTCGGCATAGTTGACTGTGTAATTTGTAAGCCAAGTGCAGCAAGGCCCATGAACTTACTTCTGTTGAATTAAAAAAAAAAAAATTAAGTTTATTTTCCTGTAATAATCAGTAGTCTGTACCTTTTGTAATTTGTTTGTGCAGGAATACACTTATAGCATTTGGCTTTCAGTGCATCTAGCCTGAAATGTTTTTTTTCTTGCCCTTTTTCTAAAGTTGAGATTTATCAGTGAGGCCCAGCACATGTGGTTTTTGTTTGGTTTTCCTGACCCGGGGCTGGCGGGCTGGCAGGCCTGCAAGGCCTGCATTCTTAGTCGCTCTGTCCTGCAGTTCACATTAATTATTTCCTGTTAAACAAACCCGCTGTGCCCACCGGGCTCGGGTCGGGCCCGTCTCCTAGGCAAAGGGGGCTCCTGTTTCGACAGCCAAGTCAGGCCGCCGGTGCCTTTTAAACCTGTGAAATCCACAAATGCGAGGCGTGCACTCGTCGACGGCCTGACAGCGGCTGTGCGGGCATCCCATGCCGGACCACGGCGCTCATCGGATACGCTCCTCGCTGTGTAATCGCTCTCCTTTCTCCAGGCGTTTGACTGTAACTCCGTGCTCATTAACCCTTGACATCTTCAAACAGGGGGGTCGCTGTGTCTGCGATTACAGCTCTGTGCGACTGCCCCACCCCCCCAGCCCGCCCCCTTCCCCTCAGGCCCTGAACGAACCCATATTGTGTCCCAGTTCCTTTAGTTCCTTTGTACCGTTTCTCTGAGCTGTAATGTCTGATTTTCTTAATTCTGCTTGAACACATGCTCTAGCAGATTTTTTTCGCCTTTGTTTTTTTGGAGGGAAAATGAAACGAGAATCTGCATCTCACGTGTCAGCTGACGACTCCAGGCTGCCTGTCAGAGTAAAACATGCCACCGCCTGGTCGTCACGGTTTCTGAAGCGAGATTTTCTTTGGCTCTGTTTATCGCCGCAGGTTACAATTTAGGGAGGAGCCGCTGACCAAACATCGGGTGTTGCTCTGCCTGGTGTTTTGGGTCTTATCCGTTTAGAGGTTAGCTAAGCTGTGGTTGCCACTGGAAACCATCGCTCGTCACGTGTTGCTCCAGACGACGGCATTGCCGTCCGAGGCCTGAAATAGTCGGGCCCCTTGTCGTCTGAGTAGCGCCTCACGGGGTAGCCAAAGACGAGGAAGGGCAGGATGAAGCGAGTATGACGGGTATACAGTACAGGAGCCGCGTGGACCCGGTCCCATTCCGCGGTGCGACATCCGGGTTTTGGAGGTGGGGCCGAAATCCTCCTGGGACCTGTAATGCAGGCTGGCGTCCTCAGAGTCGCAGAATGAGTTCTCTGAAACGCAGAGCCGAGTGAACAGAGTGTCTGACATGAGCATGGTAACTGGCGGTTTAGGCACTCTGGGTGCCTTTTCTGGCATGTGGTTTGTGTAATTTCACAGCTGCGTTCTCTTTGTGTATGTATGTATGTATGTGTGTGTGTGTGTGTGTGTGTGTTTGCGCATACACGCGCGCCCCAGGATTGCATAATTAAAGGAGCGCTCCATTATTTACCCAGAGGCATTCAGAGGTTGATGGGGCCGGTCAGATCGGCACGATGTCCCCGGCATGGTTTGGCGTGGCTCTGTGCGGTGCGGGCTTGCCTGGCATCAGCGCCACCCGTTCTTGCACCTATTCGGGTTTCGACTCGCGGGCGTCTCCATGCCTGCCTTGCCAATGTGCCTCATGGTGAACCCTGCATGCACCCCCCCCCCTCACACACACACACAAGGGCCAAATTTAAACCCCAGGCTCTGACAGGAGGGTTACGTTTTGTAGAGTTGAATGTGTGTTTGATTATTTAGTTGTGGCGGAGGGGGAGGTGCTTGGCCTGTGTGCTGTGGGGCACACAGCCCAGCTGAAAGCTGATTGGCCCCGAGAATGCCCTCTCCCCTGTCACTCAAAAAGGTTGACCCCTCTGTATGCATTTGGGCTCCTCTTATGCCTTATACCTTTAAAAAAAAAAAAAATACAAAATTCTAGAATCACCCCAGGCTTTATAGATAAATAATACAAGGTTTTCGAGCAGATATTAGCGCTCTCATCAGAGTGGTCTGAAAGCGTTTAGGCCCAGAGGACGGTGAGGGGAAGAGCCCTGGAACTGCAGCATGTACTGAATTCCCACGCAGGACTGGGAAAATCTCCCCATCTAATCCGGGACACATGCAGCGCCTGGTGGTGCAGCCGGGTCCCTGCGCGCCAGCTCAGAATGCCTGCCGTGTTGATTTCACTCCACCTGGGTTATTTTTATTGCCTGCTTTTTAATTTCTTCTGCAGATGTCTGCTGTTAGGACCACCTTAATAAAAGCAGCTAACGGAACACCGTCACTATAACCCGCGCATCTATTAATAAGCCGGCTGCTCGCTCACTTCCTGGGAGCTGCCAGCTCTTCCAGGTCTTGAGGAACCTCCTGATGGCCGAGTGGAACGTTTTCCCACCCACAAGAAACGTGACCGTTAACAGCCGATATTAGCAGAGCATCTTCTGGATTGTGAGAGCATCCTCTCGGCACACGCGGAGGACCCTGATACCGTCGTTTGTGCCGTTTGGCAAATTACCCCGAAATGATTTCAGATGTGAA